GGTGGTTTGGGCTCTGGGGGTGTGTGTGGTTTGGGTGAGAGGCAGGAGGAGCAGACACTGTGGTTGAACCGCAGCTTCTGCCTCTCCCCCGGAAGGTGCAGTGGATTTTGGTGTGCTGAGGGCTTTGTTTCCGTCGTAGAGTTGAGTCAAAGCAGCAGAGAGCTGTGAAATCCCATCCTGGCAGGGGTGGGAGTTTCCTTTCAGTTGTAAATCTTCTGTAAGAGCAAAGGGTTTGTGAGTTTAAAACACTGAGAGGGAGAGAGATGGAGGATGCTTCCCTTGCAGAGAGTTGGAGCAACCTGCTCTAGTGGAAGGTGCCCCTGCCCGGGGCAGGGGTTGGAGCTGGAGGAGCTTTAAGGTCCCTTCCACCCAAACCAGGCTGGGATTCTGGGATTTTTCTCTACCCCTCCATGTCACTTAGAGCTGGTGTCATGCTGCCTTCCTCCCTGTTGCATCACTCCTGAACAGAACTTCCTTTTCTTGCCTTTGGGATAAAGTGAGGTGTTTCTTGTCCTAGAAAATGGAGCCTGTGGCCAGCCCTTGGAGGTTGCTTGTAGTCATCCAGCTCCTGGCTCGGATCATCTCCACAGTCCTGCTTGGCTTTGGTCCCTGGTGGGGGTTTTGTGCAGAAGAGAAGCTGTTGGGTGTCTTGCTGTGGATCAGCCTCACCTCCTGCTCTCCCTGCTCGGGTGCTGTGGCCAAGACCTGCTCTGCAGCCAAGCTGTGGGTTTGAGCTGCAGCTCAGGAAGCAGAACAGGCCTGAAGATGGACATAGGGTGCTTTTAGTGCTCTGGCATGTTGGGAGTATCATCTGAGGAAGATGTGGTAAAGCATGAGAAGACCAGGCTTTAGACTGGAGAAGCTGACACTGATGTGACATACTGATGTGAGAGGAATTCCCTGTTAACTGGGAAGCTGCTGCTAGTTCAACACTGACTGTTGTTTTTATGCTTCCTCACTTGAAGATAGAGCTTTGCAGGGATGGACTCCAGAACTATCAGGCTCTGAACAGCACATCCCTGAGCTTCTGATACTGAAGATTGTTTCCCTGGGGTGAAATCTGCAGAGGGAAGGAAGGAAGGAAGAACATTTTACAACTCCAAGTAGCAAGGGGGACTTTAGTTTTGCTTGCCATCATTTTCTGGTCCAGCTGTCAGTATTCCTTAGGGAAAAGTGACCCTTGGAGTTGTAATAACTTTACTGAAGACTCTTCTTTTCTCTTTCTAGATGCAGAGATTGGCTCTAGAGAGACTGCTGAGGCAGCTCTGAGCTCGCTGCAGCTGTGGTCAGGGCAGACCAGGGACACTGCACATCTGGAAACCTCCTGCCTTGCACCAGCCGAACTTGGGGCTGCACAAAAGCCTCGTGCAGCGTTTGGAGGCAGCCAAATGGCTCCTGGAGATAGGGCTCTGTTATCTGCAGCAGCTTCACTGTCACATGCAAAGGAAAAGCTCCATGACCCGACACTCCTCCAGGTGGCAGCTCCGCAGGCTCGGTGCAGGGGGGTGATAATAGCACAGGGAGCTGTAAACAGGACACCCCACCCTGCTCTGCCCCCAGCAGCACCCTGCCCTTCCCGGTGCTCCCCGAAGCCAGGAAAGGAGCAGCAGTTGTTGCTGTTTGTGCATTAAGAGCTGTAGATGGGGGCAGCATCCCCGTCGTCACTGCAGGAGGCCAAGTCTCCTCTGCTCTCAGTTGTAGAATCAACTAGGTTGGAAAAGACCTTCAAGATCAAGTCCACCACTAAACCCCATCCGTTGTGTCTGTTCTTGAGGCTCCTTCAGGCTGGGTTTGCCCATGTTGGAGGTTTGGAGTACAAAGGCGACCCCAGTCACGTAGGATGTTCTGGTTATACCAAAGGGGGCCTCTTGGAGAGCTTTTGGGGGCCATGGACTGTGGGAGCAGCATGGGAGGGGGCTGCCCTGCTGCACGAGGGTTCAGTTCCTCTGAGCAGCAGGAGAGGAAGAGGCAGATGAAGTCATACGTAGCAGAGTACAAGTGACTTTGCCTGTGGGGGCAATGAGCCATTGAAGAAGAAGCTACAAATACTACTGAGTTTCTAAACTGGAGCTCATGGTGTTGACTGGGAAGTGTTAGGAGCAGGGAATTGCCTGGGACTGCACAAAGAGCCTTCATTCCAGCGTGGCCCTTGCGAGGGGTGGCTGTGCAGGGCCTGATGCTTCTCTCCCCCTCCCATGTGGTGTTTCGGTCCTGCCCTTTTCTCACCTGCAACTCGAATTCCACTGCTCAAATGGGATTTTAGCTGATAAGAAAAGATGTATTTACCAGGCCATGTCCCTGGAACAGCCTCAGCTGGGAGATCCATACCCTTGTATACAGAGGTATTTAGCAAACACAAGAGTGTTTTACCAGTTTCAAGGCTGAGTTTTCAGCTGCAGGAGCAAGGCCGGGGCTGCAGAAGAGGCAGCTGTGCACTGATCACATCTCGTTTGGATCAGGATGATGGAGTCAGGGAGGGCACAGCTCTGCCTCCCTTTGCTGCAGCAAGAGACACTTGGCTCTGCCCCCTTGGCTTGTGCTGGGCTTGTGCTGCTGTGTCTCAGTGCTGAGACACAAACTCAACCCAGTCACACTTGAAAAGCTTTGCTGCTCATCATGGGATGGGCAGTGCAGCCTTTTCCTGTGAGCAGGAGGATTCCAAGCAGCCACTTGAGGACTGCAATAAAATGTGTGCTTCCAGGGCAGCAATCTGGTGGTGAGAAGTGTGAGGAGGGCAGATGGAGCAGTCGAGCTCCCAGCCCTTGTGGCCCCCTCTGCTGAAGTGATGTTTCTGTTGCTAGTTTCCAATAGGTGACTTGGAGCAGCAGATCTGCCTGTGCTGAGACTGGGATTCACGTGGCCTTGGCAGGGCTGAGCTGCTGCTGTTGGAGAGTGGGAATTCCCAGGGCACGGCCGAAGCAATAGGACTCCAGTGGCCAGCAGGTTGAGGAGGGGATTGTCCCCCTCTGCAGCCCTGATCCAGCTCTGGGGAACAGCACCAGAGGGACGTGGAGCTGCTGGAGCGAGGCCAGAGGAGGCCCCAGAGCTGCTGCGAGGGCTGGAGCAGCTCTGCTCTGGAGCCAGGCTGAGAGAGCTGGGCTGGGGCAGCTGGAGAAGAGAAGGCTCCTCAAGGGGACACCTTAGAGCAGCTCCAGTGCCTAAAGGGGCTCCAGGAAACCTGGAGAGGGGCTTTGGACAAGGGCCTGTAGGGACAGGCCAAGGGGAATGGCTTGAACCTGCCAGAGGGGAGACTGAGATGAGCTCTTAGGCAGAAGCTCTTCCCTGTGAGGGTGCTGAGGCGCTGGCACAGGGTGCCCAGAGAAGCGGTGGCTGCCCCATCCCTGGCAGTGTTCAAGGCCAGGTTGGACACAGGGGCTTGGAGCAACCTGCTCTAGTGGAAGGTGTCCCTGCCCATGGCAGGGGTTGGAGCTGGAGGAGCTTTAAGGTCCCTTCATCCCAAACCAGGCTGGGATTCTTCAGGCTGTACATGCCAGTTCCCTTGTGGTCTTTGCAGTGGATGTGGGCTTGTTAATGGTGACACTGCTGGTGCTGGACCTTGGCTTTGGAAGACTCATGTTCTTTCCTTTCCCCCTGTGCAGCCAGTGTGCCCTGTGCTGCTGCTGCCGTGGAGAAGAGCTGCCGTCCCCGGCAGCCCCGCGTGCGACGCACCTCTTCGCTGGACACCATCGTGGGCTCCTACCTGCTGGGACAGTGGCCACGGGATGCTGAAGAAGCTTCCACTTCATGCATGAATGACAAAGCTACCCAGGTACAAACACCTGCAGGCTGCCCCTGTGGTGCAGGAGAGGGTCGCAGGCCTGCAGTGAGCTGCAAACTGGGGTGAAGAGGGGACACGTTAAACTTCCAGCTGTCCAGCTGCAGCTTTCTAGGAAGGCTTTTGCCCCCCTTTTGCTTCCCAGCTTCACTTGATTCCACTTTGATGCAGAGTTAGAATTTCCTTGGCCTTGCTTGGAGGCAGATGGCCTCTGGCTCCCTCCTCCAGCACTGGCTCGGTGCTACTTGGGTTTTTTCTGGCTTGCAGTCCTGGGCCAAGTCCTTATATAAAGCCCTTGGGCTGTTTGCCACCCGCTGCGAGGAGGCAGGGGTGCTCCCACCATGGGCGCACTGGCACAGGCAGCTCTGCTGGAGCATGGAAAGGCTCCAGACCTCGAGGAACTCTTAGCAACCTGTAAATATTACTGGAGGGCAGCAAATAGTGCCCTGTCTGCAGAGGTGGAGGAATTCAGAAGGGGAAGAGCATCCGTTTGCTTCAGCACATTCAGCCTCCCTGAACCCCCTGTTTGAGCTTTGCTATTCAACGGTTTATTGCTGGGCTGTTTGCAGGAAATTCTCCATGGGATTCCAACTTCCATTGTCCCTTTCCAAAGTGTTCTGGCCTGCTTTTGTTTCAGTTCTAGTGCCCAGGAGCTGTGCTGAGGGCAGAGGCCATGCTGGAAAGGAAGGGGAAGGATTTGCCTCACTCCTATTTCTAGGCAGGGAAGCACACTCGGCCTTTCTGGCTCCAGCACATGGGGAGAACACTTAACCCCAGTGCCTTGGGACTAATGAGTTTGTCTTGCACATGGCCCATTTGGGGAAAGGGTTGGAGAAGAGGGACACCTCCTTCTTCCTGGAATAGAAGCTACTGCTATGTTAATTCCTATGTGAGCATGGAGCTGAGCACTCCTCCGGCAGGGAAGAGCTGCTGCAGCCTTTCAGCGCTTACCTGCAGGAGTCTTGCAACTGCTAATTTCACCTTGCAACATGCCTGTGAAATGAGCCCTGATCTCCACTGCTTCACACACAAACCCCTCTGTGTGCCAAAGGCCTTGGCTGGTGAGAGCAGGGAATAAAGTCCTTGCATCCAGACTGCCCTTTGGATGACAGAACCTCCCCTCATCGCCCCAGGACTTTGCTGCTCAAGCCAAGCCTGGGAGATCCCAAACCTGGGACTGTCTCTGCCATCAGTACACGTTCACCTCCTGCTCACTGAGCTCCTGATGAGCTGCTCTGCAGAGCTCTCTGCTCTCATGGGGTGGGTAAGGGAGAGGTGCAGGTGCTCAGAGGTGTGCTGAGGGTGCCAGCACTGCACAGGATCCGAGCTCGTGGCTTTCTCTTGCTGTGCAGAGCACTTTGTTCTCTCTCCTTTCTCTGAGGAAGTGGTTTTGCCACAGTTAGTACAAAAGGTTCTGTAACTTCCTTCTGCCCTGGCAGTGCCTGCCCGAGGGGGGACGTGGCTGCTCCCTCCAGTCTCAGGCCTTCCTATTGCAAGCAGCAGCTTTTCTTCCTTTTTAGGCCTGAGTGCTCGGGGTGTCCCAGCAATAGGCTGCAATAAGTGACTTCTCAAACAGGGCTTCTGTTGACTTGAGGGGGGTTTCTGTCACATCCTGCAAGGCTGTGACTGTTCCTGGCAGCTGGAGTTCAGCTTCCCACAGCCTTGCTTCTCGCAGTAACGTGGCACAAGGACTGCAGTCTGGTCTCTTAGACCTGGGCCTCTTCTTGTGTGTGATCTCCTGGGCCACAGCGACACAATGCTTTGGGATAACGGCCAAATAGTGATGTTGGATTTGTTCAGGGGAGTATTTGAGGTAGGAAATGAGCTCAGATGTGCCACGTGTGAGGCTGGTCCTTGCCACAGGAGTTCCTGTCGCGTTGGGCTGCTCCTTGGCTCAGCCTGGAGCAGGTCAGAGCGGCTGTGAGCAGGACACAGAGCAGTGGGTGAGACTGAACACGTTTCTTCTCTCCAGCCACACTGGAGCTGAGCTGTGCTGATGCTGCTCACAGGCAGTGCAAAACGGAGATGCAGCCAACAGAGAACACCATGTGCTGCTTCCAGTGGTGTGTGTAAGAAGGGGCTTCATCCAGAGCCTGTTAAGTCAGGAGAGGGTTGGTTTCTGCCTAGAAATCACCTGTACTCCGTTAGAGAAGGGAAAGCTGCTGCCTCTGTGGGTAACTTGCCTTGTTCCTGCAGTTTTAAATAGCTTTTCAAACCTGTTTTGGGACCCTTCTGTCATCCCCTGGATTCACGAGGTTCTTTAAAGCAGCTGCTGTTCCTGCAGTAGCCTCTGGGGAGATGAGTCTGGCTGCTCGGAGAGGAGCAGTTCTCAGGCCCCTGGACAAAAATGGTGCTTGGTCTTGAAAATGCCGTGTCTTTGGGACTGCTGGGATCGTGGAGCCTCTGCCGAGAGGGCTGAGCTCGGCGGCAGGGAGCTCACCCCCTTGCTGGGCAGGTTAACAGCACTCGGGATTCCCACTGACACTCAAGCCGTGGCTGTTGCTTGCCCAGTGCTGCTCTGCATGAGGAGAGGCACTGAGACCTGCCAGCCCTGCAGAGCTGAGCTCCTCCAGCCCCTCTGCAGCCAACCTCTGCTTCTGGTTCTGCTCTGAACCCTGGGCTGAGGAGCCTGAGGTCGCAGAAGCAAGTTGTGTGTTCTCACACCTGGGTGAGGCTTTTCCTCTTGATGATGCTGCTTCAGACAGCAAGTGCCTCAAATGTGGAGCACTGCAGTGCAGGCTCCTGCAGTCCCTTCTCCAGGGATGTGGGCTGGTGCTCTTTATCTCATAGGGTCATAGAATAGGGTTGGAAAGGACTTGAAGGTCATCTGAGGTGCTTGTGGTGATCCAGCCCCTTCTGCCATAGAGGTCTCTGAGGTTCAGTTTCCTGATAGGCACAAATGTGGCTGAAAGGACTTTGTTTTGGCAAGTGTAAGTGGGTGACTGTCTCAATGCACGTTATTTCAAAGGGCCTGTAGGGACATGCCAAGGGGAATGGCTTGAACCTGCCCGAGGGGAGATTGAGATGAGCTCTGAGGCAGAAGCTCTTCCCTGTGAGGGTGCTGAGGCGCTGGTACAGGGTGCCCAGAGAAGCTGTGGCTGCCCCATCCCTGGCAGTGTTCAAGGCGTTCAAGGCCAGGTTGGACACAGGGGCTTGGAGCAACCTGCTCTAGTGGGAGGTGTCCCTGCCCATGGCAGGGGTTGGAGCTGGAGGAGCTTTAAGGTCCCTTCATCCCAAACCAGGCTGGGATTGATTCTATGATTATTATATTAACGGGAGGAGAGCAAAGCAGAACAGTGAAGGGGCAGCAGCTGATCACTTGTTCTTAGGACTCTGCCATGGTCTCTGCAGCACTGAACATTGTGAGTATTCTCAGCCCTGTTTCTCCTCGCTCCAGACTCCAGTGTCGTGGCGTGATGTGGAAGTGGGGAAGGCCAGCTCCAGTGCTCACAAGCGTTCTGCCTCCTGGGGTAGCACAGACCACCGCAGCGAGGTAAACACTGCACCACTCCCAGCGCTTGAGCCAGGTCTGTGGCAGCTCCTGGTGTACAGGAGGAGGGGAGTTGGGAGGCCAGGAGCCTACTAAAGATGAGACCAGAGCCCTTATTCTCATCCCTAATTCTCTGTGATCCATCCAAAGACCGATCTTGGAGGCTTTTCCTAGTAGCTCCACTGAAGCTCAGTGAATTGCTTGTCAGGGTCGTGGTGTATGTGGGTTCCAGGTGGTTCCCAGCTTTCTGTAGGTGGAGGATAACCCAGACCCTCTCGAGGAATGGTGCTGGCCATGCTGCAGCAGGGGAGTCTGTGAGGAGGCCTTTTGAGTGCTTCTGGTCCATCCTTCTCAAGGAGGCCAAAGCTGCTCCTTGTGTGATTGAAACCATCTCAAATTTGGCACTTCCTTGTGGGTTGGAAGAGAAGGGGGAGGAGAGAGGCAGGGCCCTGCTCCTCTTCGTGGACGTGTGTTGGCTCGCCTGCTTCTGCCTGCAGCTCTCTTTGTTTCCTAGATTGCCAAACTGAAGCAGCAGCTCCAGAGGACAAAGCTCCGTGGCAGAGACAAGGAGAAGAGCTGCCCGCTGCAGGGGGACCACGCTGTCCTCGCGTCGCTCCGGGTACCTTCCTGTCTCCCCCTGCTCCTCCATCACCCAGGGCAGGTGTCTGAGCTGCTCTTCTGTCTCAGGAGACCCTATTTCTCCCCTTCTCCCGCCTCAGCGTGTGCCTGTGCTTTGATCTGCAGTTAGTGACTTGACTCTTGCTGGCAGGCTCCTGTCAGCCTGAGCCTTGGGAACTGCTGTGGGACCAGGATGAGTCTGTGCAGGTGTAACTCTGAGCTCCTTCGGGTTGTGTTACAGGACTCTCCTTCAGGCTTCCTTTCTCCATCTCCCGTTTTGAGGCTCAGCCCCTGCTTGCACAAGAGCCTGGAAGGTCTAAACCAGGAACTGGAGGAAGCGTTTGTGAAGGAACAGGGAGATGAAGAGCTGCTGCGGGTAAGTGAAGGTCACGGGATTGCCCTGGGTCTTCTGGGTGCTCTTGGAAGTCCTTTCTGAAGACACCTCCTTCATCTGCTTCCTGGCCATGGGGACAGTCTCTGTGTCTAGTGTCGCTCTGTTCTAGTCATGTAACGGTCTAAATTGGGGCAAGTGGCTGCTGCTTCCCTCCTTAAGCCTCATTGGTGCTGTGAGAGATCAGCCAGTAGCAACCTCAGGGTAGCTGACACCTCACTGACAGCTTGAAGACACCCAGACTGGTACCAGAGGCTCCTCTGCACTGGGCAGATGGGGGAGAAGTGGCTCCAGATGGCTCAGGAACTGCTGGGTGTTGCAGGATCCACAAGGACCGATGTCCTTGGAGCAGAGGCTCTGCCTGGAGCTGGATCCAGCACCCCAAGCAGCTGCCCTCTGTGGCTACAGCTGCTCTTAAACCTCTTCACTGGTGACAAGGGGCTTTCCTTGCTCCTCTAAGACTTTGCTTCCTCCCTAGATCCTGGATGTCCCGGATGGCCACAGGGCACCAGCGCCTGCCCAGAGAGGCTCCGGAGCTGCGTCCCTGGCGCCGGAGCCTGGCAGTGGCCGGCGGGCGCCGGCCCTCCCTTTTTCCTAAAAACCTCTGCACCTTTCCCCACAGCCCCCGGGGAGGCTGCCAGCAGAAGAACCCTCCTCTGCAGCAGACGAGGTGCAGCCAGAGCCCAAAGAGAAAGGTGAGAACCCAAAGCAGAGGGGTGGTGGGAGCTCAGGGGACAAAGCGGGGCAGCGGCTCATCCCTGTGCTGGGTCAGAAGCTGTAGCAGGGATGAGAGAGAGGGTCTCAGCCATGGCTAAATTGTGGTGGGCTTCTAAAGCTGCAGTACTGACCCTGCAGGCTTCCAGCAGTAGATGGAGGATGTGAGCTGGGAATGGCACAGAGGAAAGGTTGGGGCTTGGAGGATTGTAGGCTCCAGCCCCAGGGTCTGAAGGACTCTGGTGAAGTTGGTTGCTTTTAAATATCGTTCCAAATGTGCCTTTTCTTCCCCATCAGAGGAGGGCAGCCCCTCCCCAGTGCTGGCCTTCGCCTCCTCCCCTCGCCCCAACCACAGCTACATGTTCAAGCGGGAGCCTCCGGAGGGATGCGAGAAGATCCGGGCCTTTGAAGAGGCTTCGTAAGTACCAGGAGCTGGTGGTGGCAGAACTTCCTTGAGGATGGGTCCTGCAAGAGCAGCTCTCGAAGCAGAGAGCAGCCACCGGGGCTGCTCAGGGCCTGGTGAGGAGCGGAAAGCTTGGAATGCTGACCCTCGGGAAGGGGCTGCTGCTTCCATCCCCTCCCATGCTGCTCTGCACCTGAGCTCAGCTCCCAGCCAGGCTCTCTGAAGGCTGTTGCAGCTCCGGGTGTTCTCCCGGTGGCTGCTCCATGCTCCTGGGAGCATCCCCATCCCTCATGCCCTCCCCTCTGTCTCTCTCCTGCAGCTCCCCCAGCCCTGAGCAGCCTTTCCAGCCTTCCTGCCCGGATAAGAACAAAGTGCATTTCAACCCCACCGGTTCTGCCTTCTGCCCCGTCCGCCTGGTGCAGCCTCTCTTCCCAAACATGGGCTTCCTCTTCAGGAGCTTCCCAGCTCCTTCCAGCGCCGGCACGGGCCCGCTGATGTCCTGCCAGCCCCCAGCCCCCTTCCTCGGGGTGCGGGAGGATGCTGCGGACGATGGCTTCAGCGACGTGCCCACGTCTCCTGCCCTGAGCTATGAACCCTGGAAGCGGGCGGAGCCCGAGGAGCGCGG